CAGCTGGGGTGGCAGCAGGTCTCCTGGCCACAGCCCTGGTCAGAGCAGACGGAGCCACAACAGGAGTTGACCATGGTGTCAGAGGGTGGAGGTTCTCAGTTGGTGTCCACGAGCTTGGGTTTTCAAGTTTCGAAATCTTTATGCCCAGCTTTCCTTTTATATCTTCCTTTGTCTCGTATTATAACATGCAGGAATATTTCCTTTTCATTGTTTGTTCTATTAAATAGGCACTTATCAAATTAGCCAAGTTTGTTTTCTTTGTTAAACTTTTGAAGGTGGATGGAAACATTTTTTTTCATGATATATGATTCATCCTGTCAGCTCTTCCTGAATCATCTCTGAAGTTGTGTCTTTCTTTAGCTACCTGAACGAAAGCTATCACCTGATAAATTATATGTGGTAGTCTGAGTTCCTGAGTCATCATGCCAACCCTTTGGGTATAATGGTTCCAATGGGCCCACATTCTTTTGGTGACCTGGGTGTATAAGGGTGCATTTCAGTCTAATGGCTCATTTATTGTGGGTCATTTGGGCTGGGAAGTTTTGAATGTGAAACAGGGAATGGCTGGTGTGAAAATATTATTATTAGTACACCCCCCCCTCCCCAGTGTGATTCATGGCCTACCACCTAGGCTTTCTGATGGGAAACAAATAACTGTTCCAAGGAGTAAAGCTAGGGCACAAATTTTGATGTGTCTTGTTTTCTTTCAGGTTTATTAAGTTATACTTAAAACACACAGTTTTAATACTGCATAGTTCTAATATATACATTTTGTTGAGTTTAAACATATGCATACACCATAATAGCAACACCACAGTTGAGGTAATATATATTATCTGTCATCTCCAAAATACTTTTTTGTCCTCTTGGTCTGTGTATAGTGTATGGTAAGAACACTTAGCATGTGATCTACCCTCTTAATACGTTTTTTAATGCACCATATTATATTGTTAACTATAGATGCATTGTTGTTCTGTAGATCTCTAAAACTTATCCTGTATAATTATAACTTTATATTATTGAGCAACTACCCATTTCCTCATTCCCCCTGGAAACCACAATGTTATTCTCTGCTCCAATGAACTTGAGTATTTTAGATACCTCATAGAAGTGCAATCATGTAGTATTTATTTGTCCTTCTGTGACTTACTTCACTTAGCCTAATGTCTTCTAGGTCCATCCATATTGTTGCCAGTCATGGGATTTCCTTAGCTTTTAAGGCTGAGTAATATTCCTTTGTGTGGATATATCACATATTTTAAATCCATTTTTCTGTCAGTAGACATTTGCGTTGTTTCCATATCTTGGCTATTGTGAATAATGCTGTAATAAACATGGGAGTGCAGTTATCTCCTCAAGATCGTGATTTCATTTCTTTTGGATATATACCCAAAATAGGATTGCTGGTTTGCACAGTAGGTCTATTTTTCATTTTTTAGGGACCCCCCATACTGTTTTCCATAATGGCTGCACTACCTTGCATCCCAGCCAACAGTATACAGGGGTTTTGATTTCTCCACATCCTTGCCCATACTTGCTGTTTTGTGGGTCCTTTTACAGATGTGTGGTTGTATTTTATTTTTCTCCAGAACTCAGCTTTAGGACTTCTTGGGGGCAGTTGACTGCAGAGATAATTAGAAGCTCTCTATCCAGCTGTATCTAAAGGTTCAGGTCCCTCAACTTCTGCTTTGTTGGGCTTCTAACTTTGATTTCTTATCTTTCTGATTTTATCAGGTCATGTTGACTCATCTCTATTTCCCAAGTTTTACTTGTCAACCCAAGTTAGACTGCCCAGTGTCCTCATGTTTCACTCTAATTCATACCTTCCCATCTTGCTGTCTCTTTTAATTGCTGGCCTCTGAAGATGCCTTGTATTCTCCTGCTTCATTATTCAAATTGTTAATCAGATTTCACACTATAGGTCTTTATTTCCAAGAAAGAAGACAAAAGATGAATATCCAGGTTAAACAATATCAACCTGTATATTCATTCATAGTAGGGTTGGAGTAAAAGCTTAAAGATACAAAATTCCCAACTAAATGACTAGCTGACTAGTGTTTCAAAAAAATGAGGGTACTGCCAGTTCATCGATTGGCTCCTTATATACATTTTTCCCCTTGAGGATCCAGGGACCCCAGGGAAGGAGGAGAACACTGGAAAATCCTGTCTTTGAATTATGTTCTTTGAAATATATGTCATTTTTAACTTTAGGTGGTTTTTGAGTAGTCATTTCTTTCCTTGGACTGGCCTTTCTGAGAACAGAACCATGGATATCTCAACTTTGTTGAGAGTCTTTGTATAAAATATGTTCATCAAGGATTTGGAGCCTGTGAAGTTGGGGGAGATTGTATATATTGAATGCCAGAATCATGGTTCCAAATGATTTAGACATCCTTGCACAAGAGACTAAATCTAACAAGTCGAAATCTCAGAGCCTTTCTTAGATCTAAAAGAGTAGGTACCAATGCAACATGGTACATGAGATTGAGGAGGAGTAGATATATCTAAATTTCTTGGGAGAATTTATTTGAACTGCCAACACAACTGAAGGTTGTATTTACCCTCAGTACCTCTTCCCTGGGTATAATATTATTACCAAAATGACCCATGTTATGCCTGGTATTGGGTAGCAAAAGAGATTAAGAACTGCTGGTCTGCAGATAGTCACCAGACTGCTACAAGAGAAGATTGAAGCAGTTTGTAATGAAAAAGACATAGGTGTTTACATGATAGTAACCTCAGTACAAGTCCACACTTAGTGCCATTAAACTCTGAATGGAAACATTGATACATTAATGCAAGTGTGATATGTAAAAAGGAAGAAGATACAGTTTCACTTCTATGAGCATTCAGAACACATCTCAAAATGTGTTCAATTCTGGCTTACATTAGAGGAATAGAGATGAGTTGCAGTATGTTAAAAGTAAAATTGCTAGGATGGTGACATTGTGGTCAACGAAGAACAGATGAAAAAGCTTGGGAAAATTAGCCTAAAGAAAAATGGAGCCTCTATTTAAATTGGTTTAAGTAAATTCATGGATTATAATTTACTAGGACTCTTTTTTTTGGTAGCAGTTGTAATCCATAGCTCTCATGTTATACATATTAGGTTCAAAAATATCTCCCTTTCAACCTTTTCTTGTTTCTGCTGAAACTGAATTATGGTCTGGATAAAAATCTCATTGGCAAATACCAATTTAATTTTTTGTTGTAGGGTTCCCTGAGAACATATACTACTGGGTCGTACAAAAAGACAGCAATATACATTGAACATTTCATTAATAAGAAATAATGAGAGATGAGCAATATTAGTGCCTTCCAATGCTAAAAAGTTTTATTTGGGAACCTCAAGAAATTCCACATGATGGGGTGCCTGAGTGGCTCATTTGGCTAAGTGTCTGACTCTTGATCTTAACTCAGGTCTTGATCTCAGGGTGGTGAGTTCAAGCCCCACATGGGGCTCCACGCCCAGTGTGGAGCCTACTTTAAAAAAAAAAAAAAAAAGAAATTCTACATGAAAATGGATTCCATAGAGAAACATTAAAAAGAAAAAACCTAGAAAGGGAACATTTGAAGACTTTCATATTTGGAATCAGAATTAGGAATCCTAAAACAACTGCAGAATCTAACTATAAATTCTGATTCACTGGCAATAAGATATTTCTACAAAAGAGAATAAATAATATAGAGACTAGAGGTTTCTAAATCAGTCCATGGGTCTGTTTGTAAGTTCATGACATTAGGAAGTGCCAGGTGTTTTGTTAAATTAGATGCTTTCTTCCTGGACTGAAGGGTGGGGGCAAATAAGTTTGAGTCTAGAGCAGGATGTTCAGCAGCAAGAACCACCATAGCAGCTGGGGCGGCAGCAAGTTGTTCTACAGCAGGTGGTCTGGCAGCAGGAGGGGCGGCAGCAGCTAGGGATGCAACAGTTAGGCCTGCAGCAGCTGGAACCACAGCAAGAGGGGTGGCAGCAGGTGGTCTGGCAGCAACTGGGGCGGCAGCAGCTGGACACACAGCTGCTGGGGTGGCAGCAGGTGGTCCTGCAGCAGGTGGTCTGGCAGCAGCTGGGGTGGCAGCAGGTCTCCTGGCCACAGCCCTGGTCAGAGCAGACAGAGCCACAACAGGAGTCGACCATGGTGTCAGAGGGTGGAGGTTCTGGGTGGGTTTCCAGGAGAGTATTCCTTGAATCTGGAAGTTTTCCTGCTCCAGGTTCCCCTTTATATCCTGCTGAGGGAGCTCTATTCTTGTTATTGCTTACCCTAATAAGTAAGCAATTGTTAAATTAGGTAATTATATTTTCGAAGCTGGATGGAAAACGTTGTTTCCTTTGCCTGATAGATTAGGATTTATCTCATTAACCCTTCCCCCATCACATCTTGGCTGTCTTCCTTTGTATGAATTATCTTGGTTCAGATTCTAAACTGAATGTGTTGACTCTCACTCCATCTGCTCTTTCCTCCTGAATCATCCCTGCTGATTCTGTCCTTGTAGGCATCATCTATGTTTACAGATACTGAAGTTCCTTCCAGAGAGCAGTTGCCATGTGAACCTTGACATGGAGTAATCTAGGTTTCACTCTTCCCCATCTGTGGGTCTTATCATGCCTACAATATTTGCAGCATTCCTTGTGAAAAAAGATTTAGTCACAGGTTCAATCGAGATATAAGAAAATTACAGAAGAATGGAATCTTAACCTGGGAAATCAAGGTAAAATCCACTAGTGTGATCAGTTGTTATAAAAAATGATTGGGGGCACAAATAGAATCCTCAAGACACTCAGACTCTGTTCTCATCTTATTTCTTGGACTTGAAAATATTGGTAGATTTCCTGTTTTTAAAGAACAAACGTGTCTGGAATGGATATAGACCTTCAGGAATCACTGCTGGAATTGATAACAGAGCTCTTGTATGTAAAAAATTTATACTTACATACAAAACAATATACAGTGTAGCCTCAGTTATGCAAGAAATATTGAAATTACAAATATTAATTATATTGACATTTAATTATATAAATTAAAAATATTGACATATTAATAGTAATTATTTCTGGTTGATGGACTTAAGGAAATTGTTAATTTTCTTCTTAACACTTTTATCTTCTACTTTTTCTTTGATGACTTGTTTTTCATTTGTAAGCAAAAAAAATTAAAGAAAACTTTGTCATGTAACTATACCACTATCTAGAAATCTCTAATGTGACCCTCTGGGGCTGGGAGTTGGAAGGTACCAGACCAGGATAATGCTGTCAGTGAGGAAGAATTTCCTTTTCCCTTTAAGGTCCTTCTAGCTGGACTAAGAAACAAATTGACATGAAACAGATTAACAGGAGAAAATCAATTTTAATAGCATACATAGGGGGAATCCACACACACATTGAAATTCCAAAGACCATAAGGCAACATGATGCTTATATGAGGACACAAAGGGGAGAAAGACCATTAGCAGGAAGGTGAGAGGAGATGTTTAGAAAACAAAGGTTGCTCTATTTTATAGATAAGTTTTTTAGGTGAAGAGGAATCACCATTAATAGCTCTCTTTCTGGTATAAGCAGGCAGTTGAGGGGAAGATAAAGAGCTTTTCCTGAATTTGCTGGGTTTTGATTGCCTTTAACTGAAAATAATGTTCATGCCAAAGTGGCGCATTTTGGGGCAGTCTGCCCTTAGCATCTGTACTTCTCAGCATCATCCAAGTCTCAGCTCAGATCATCCCCTCCACAAGAGAAGCCACCCCCCAACCTCACAATCGCAAGAACATTCCAGTCTCTCTCACCATACTGTACTCTCTGTTTTTTAATTGTCTTCCTAGCACTTATCTTTATTTGAAATCACCATGTTCATTCTTGTGCTTATTGTCAGCGTTGCCCTTCTAGAATGTCAACTCTTGGTGTTATGTGCTCAGTTGCATGAACAGTGCATGGTATATAGAAAACCTTCAGTAAGTACTTATTGAATGAATGAATAAATGTAGCACATGATTCCATGGGGGCAGGGGCATGGTATGTTTGTATACATATTTAAACATAGAAATATTTCTATAAACATGGGAAAAGGTCAGGAACAATATCCATCAGTTTAATTTAGGGATGGGAGGAAAAAGTCATTAGGGAGACTTTTAACTTTGTACTTTATAATATTTTTGAATGTTGGGATTATTAAAGATACTTTTGTCTTCTTTTTGGTATGTTTCAAATAAAATCAAGTTTTAAAATGAACAGGAGATTTGGCTTAGCCAAGAAACGTATCTTATGAAATATAGTTTCTTTTATGACCTCTGCCAGATTTTGTGTGACATTGCCAGGCTTGGGGCAAGGCCTCATGATAAAAGGCTACTGACTCCCTGGTGCCCTTAGGATGTATGCCAAACTTCTTAACATGGCATCAGCACCCTTCACACACCTACTTCCCCAACCCCATCTCCAGTCACTCTCTCATCTTCCTCATTGCCCTAAGCTCTAGTCCACACTTTTCAGATTCCATCCTTTGCAGTTCTATCCAATGCCCTGGAAAACCTACTCCTTATTTTCTACCTAGCAAGAACCTAGCTCAGATGCCACTCTCTTATACCTTCTCTTGCTCCTTCAAACAGTTATTTGGTGTTAGTCCCTTGATATTCCCATAGAGTACAATCCATCCTGGCTATGGAGCTGCAACCATGTTGTTCTTCTTTGAATTCTCCATATCTAGCAAAGTCCTTAGCACATAGTAGGTACTCAATAAAAGTTTTTGGAGCTTGAGAAAACATTTAAACAATGTTAAAGATCTTTTAAATTATATTATGATACTAAGTTATAAAAATGTCTCCATAGAAACAATATAATGAAATTTCACTAATTCAAAAACAAGAAGGCAGACTGGTCTAATTTGGTTGACTAGAACTTTTAAAAATATTGCCTTTTAGCTACTTTCCAATATATTTAAAGCATAATTAAGAATCATAGCAACTGATGAATCATTGAACACATCAAAAACTAATGATGTACTGTATGTTGGATAATTGAACATAATAAAAAAATAAAAAAAGAATCATAGCTAAAGAATGCTTCTAAGTGTTAAGTTCAAGGGATAGGTACAGAATGATATGATTCACTTGCAATTGGCATTAAGTAGGTCCACACTGAGTTAAATATAACTTCTGTAATTACATTCACCATCTTGATTTGCCTTACAATCATTTTATGGAAGATGCCAAATTTCATGTGGGTGTAGGCCCGGAAAAATTAGCCTGCACATGTCCCTGATGGAATGTGTCCAAATTAATGATATTTTATTGTGTGAATGTCATAGCAAGAGATTTAAAGGTTGTAGGAGACATTCAGGACAAACTTAGGAACTTGATAATCATGCTAAATTTCTAGCTTGCCCCCCAAAGATGTAGAAAATATTAGGTCACAGGAATTTGCATTTTTAAATGAATACCCCAGGTCCTTCTGATAACAGGCAGTCCCTGGACATTTCATTGTTCAGGATCTGGGTAGAGAATGGTATCAGAAAAATCAGATTATAATGAGCTTTAATGCTCACTTCAGTAGAGTTAAATGAAAACCCATAAATTAGGGAAGAATTAGAGAATTTTGCCAGTTCAGTGTTCTTTTTGTACTAGTACTTAAATATAACATTTCTGATCTACTTTTTCCCCACTTATGCCACCTTCTTAGTATTTTATTCATATTATTCATATTGGTGTGAATTTCTTGTATTAACCTAATGATTTTCAAACCTTTTTTTAAAAAAAAAAAAGATTATGAGAGAGAGTGTGTGCACCTGTGTGCATGTCAGGGGGGAGGGGCAGAGGGAGAGGGAGAGAGGATCTCCAGCAGACTACCCACTGAGTGCAGAGCCTGACGCAGGACTTCCCAGGACCCTGAGATCATGACCTGAGCTGAAACCAAGAGTCGGAAACTTCACCGGACTGAGCCACCTAGGCACTCCAGTGATTTTCAAACCTTTAAAGCTTTTTAAAAACTGTTTCCTTACCTGGAAGTTCACTATATATAAATCCAATAAAATGGAGCCACTTCAGTTGGAGGGAGGCAGTCCATCTCTCAGCCCACAGTCTGGCAGTGTATGAGACACTTCTGACAAAGTCCAAGTGGCTCATTTGGCAAGCTACTGTTGCAGCCAAAAGAGCAAGGCCAGGTGGGTACAGTAATTTATGTGACCCTGATCCCATGTCCCTTTGAAAAAGATGCCAGTAAGTAAGTTTGATGCATATCAGTTCCCCACATATACTGTTCTGAGGGAGGGATGCCTTTGTGAAACGCAGTATCTTGGGTTGGGTGATCTCTAGGAGAGAAAATACCTGTGGTGGGGGTGGGGGAGGTGGAAGGAAGTGAGCCCAGCAGAAACTTCATTATCAAGAGTAATGGAAGGCAAATGAGTTTTCCTTTTGCCCCAGTGTGAATGAAATCTGGGTCTGGTACATGAATGGAGAATAACTCTTGCCCAAAGTTTACAGCTCTTGTCTTCCTGGTTGCCATTCTCTTTAAGCTAGGGTGTAGAAAAAAATGAAGCATTGCTGGTTCATTAAAGAATCAAAGAGATGAGTTTGGTTTGTGTTATCTGGTGCCTTTTTGTTATAAAAATAAGTTTGGAAGTTCTGTTATGTAGTGACACAGATCTAAATTCTTATCTGTATCTATATATAAAATGAGTTATTCAGGAGCTAGTTATAAACACGGGGAGGAATGAAGAGTAAGTCTATTTTATTTCTGTAGTGAGAAAAGTAAACATAGAATTAAGAAATGGGATAATCAATAGATGAGAACAATAGGAGACAATGTCATCAATAAAAACAGAATTTAGATGAACTACCCTTAGTCATATAAGCCTGGCCAATAACTTCTTTCTTATTGAGTAATGGGAGATGATGTCAAATGCCTGGTAAGAAAGCAACAACTGGGACTCTTATTTGTCACTTACAGAGTGACTCAGACAGAGTGAGGGTCTTATGGCCAATGTGGGAGAGAAATCAGGGACTAGACACACAGCCATTGGGACTGATTTGAGTAACATCACCCAGGACGCTGTGTCATGGTGCCTTGAAGGAAAGAAGCTTTTGATTCTGTGATAATGTTGATGGGGAAGGTGTAAGTGTGGGACGGGGCACTCAGCAACAAGAGGATTCGTGGCAGTTGGGGCAGCAGCAGGTGGCACAGGAACAAGTGATCTGGTGGAAGCTGGGGCAGCAACAGCTGGGTACCCAGCAGCTAGGGTGGCAGAAGCCAGACATACCGCATCTAGGGTGGTAGCAGCTGGGGCAGCAGCAGGTCTCCTGGCAGAGGCCATGGTCAGAGTCCTGGTCAGAGCAGATGGAGCCACAACAGGAGGTGACCATGGTGTCAGAGGGTGGGGTTTCTGGGTGGGTGTCCAGGAGAGATTCTCGAGTAGAGGTCTTCTCCCAAATTCTGCTGAGGAACTGTCATTGTCATGTTCAAGATTCTTCTCTTGCTGTTGTTTGTCATGTTTATTTTTAAAAAGATTTTATTTATTTATTTGATACAGAGAGACAGCCAGAGAGGGAACACAAGCAGGGGGAGTGGGAGAGGGAGAAGCAGGCTTCCCCCTGAGCAGGGAGCCCAATGTGGGGCTCAATCCCAGGACCCCGGGATCATGTCCTGAGCCGAAGGCAGCGCTTAATCAACTGAACCACCCAGGCACCCCTTGTTTGTCATGTTTAAAGAGAACTTATCAGACATTGTGATTGTGGCATGATTCTGATAGAGAGTTCACCTTCACATTTAAAATGGGTGCTTACACAATTTTCTTTCTTTTTTCTTCTTAAATATTTTATTTATTCGAGAAAGAGAGTGAGAGAGAGAGAGCGAGCAGGGGAGGAGAAGAGGGAGAGGGAGAGATAATCTCCAGCAGACTCGATGCTGAGCGCAGAGCCCAATGTGGGGCTCAATCCTAGGACCCGGAGATTATGACCTGAGCCAAAACCAAATGCACTCTGTGCTAGAGCCATTATCAGGATGCAGAACCAGAAGCAAATAATATCCACCCTAACCTTTTGCCACTTGACTCCATTCTGACTCAATGAACAGCAGCAGATTAATTTGATAGAATGAATTGGTAAAACCATTGTCCATATGCTAGGTCTGTAAACAGGATTTATTCACCTTTGTAGTAGCCCAGATTAGGACACTTCAGCAACAGAGGCACCAGAAATACTAGCCACAGTTAAGTCAGAGGAAATGAAGCTATATCAGGAGCCACATTGTTGTCACTGAAAGGAAAAGGCTCTTTCTTTCAAAAGCTTACAAATGTAGAAATTGCTAAGTATCCAAAATATTATGCTTTGCTCCATTGACACACAGGATGGAGTAATTGTCCCTTTTGTTCCTGCACAAATACATTTGTATGTTTATTTTTATTTTTTTATTGAAGTATGATTAACATACAGTGTTATTAGTTTCAAGTGTACAGTATAATGATTCAACAATTCTATACATTATTCAGTGCTAATCATGGTAAATGTACTCTTAATCCACTTCATCTATTTCACCTGCCCCCCCATCCACCTCCCCTCTGGTAACCACCGGTTTGTTCTCTGTATTTAAGAGTATGTTTTTTCATTTGTCTCTTTTTTTCTTTGTTCATTTGCTTTGTTTCTTTTATTCCACATATCAGTGAAATCATATGGTACTTGTCTTTCTCTTACTTACCTCCCTTAGCATTATACCTTCTAGGTCCATTCATGTTGTTGCAAATGGCAAGACCTTGTTCTTTTTTATGGCTGAGTAATATTCCATTATATATATAAATGTATGTATATATACACACACACACATACCATAACTTCCTTACCCATTCATCTATTGATGGATACTTGGGATGCCTCCATATCTTGATAATTGTAAATAATGTTGTGATAAACATGGGGGTACATCTATTTTTTCAGATTATTATTTTCATTTTCATTGGGTAAATAACTGTAGTAGAATTACTGGATTACATGGTAATTCTATTTTTAATTTTTTGAGGAACCTCCAGACTATTTTTCACAGTGGCTGCCCCAGTTTGCATTCCCACCAAAGGTGCGTGAGGGTTCCTTTTTCTCCACAGCCTGACCATCACTTGTTATTTATTGTCTTTTTGATTCTAGCCATTCTGACAGGTGTGAGGTGATATCTCATTGTGCTTTTGATTTCCATTTTCCTAATGATCAGTGATGTTGAGCATCTTTTCATGTATCTGTTGGCCTTTTGTATGTCTTCTTGGAAAAATATTTATTGGCATTTGTTTTTTTAAACTGCAATTCAAAGCAAAATATTTTAGTTGTCAGACTTCTTTGAAACCTTTCTCTTTACCATTAAATGTAAATATTCTATCCCTAGAGCAGGTTTGTTATCAGCTCTGTTAATAGATTTGGAGCTCAGCATGGAAAAGACTAAGTCAGTTATACTCAAATCAGTACCCTGTTGCAGAAAACAAGATACCTAATGAAGTTGCTTGCTATTAATAGATTTATTGGTTATTGAATTTTGTGACACATATGAACACCTTGTGAAAATATGGCTTTAGTTACAAATGTGTTAAAATATGCTTTGAATACAGCATCCTTTCCTGATTAAAACTCTTCAGAGTATAGGGATAGAGGGAACATTCCTCAAGTTCATAAAAACCATCTATGAAAAGCCCACAGCGAATATAATTCTCAATGGGGAAAAGCTGAGAATCTTTCCCTTAAGATCAGGAACATGGGGCATCTGGGTGGCTCAGTTGGTTAAGCGACTGCCTTCGGCTCAGGTCATGATCCTGGAGTCCCGGGATCGAGTCCCGCATCAGGCTCCCTGCTCAGCAGAGGGTCTGCTTCTCCCTCTGCCCTCTTCCCTCTCGTGTTCTCTGTCTCTCATTCTCTCTCTGTCAAATAAATAAATAAAATCTTAAAAAAAAAGGAACATGACAAGGATGCCCACTCTTGCCACTATTGTTCAACATAGTACTAGAAGTCCTAGCAACAGCAATCAGACAACAAAAAGAAATAAAAGGTATTCAAATTGGCAAAGAAGAAGTCAAAATCTCTCTTTTCGCAGATGACATGATACTTTATGTGGAAAACCCAAAAGACTCCACCCCCAAATTACTAGAACTCATGTGGCAGGATACAAAATCAATGCACAGAAATCAGTTGCTTTCTTATACACTAACAATGCAACTGTAGAAAGAGAAATTAGGGAATCGATTCCATTCACAATAGCATCAAAAAACATAAGATACCTTGGAATAAACCTAACCAAAAAGATGAAGAAACTACATATACTCTAGAAACTACAGAACACTTATGAAAGAAATTGAAGAAGACACAAAAAGATGGAAAAACATTCCACGCTCATGGATCAGAAGAATAAACATTGTTAAAATGTCTATGCTGCCCAGAGCAATCTATACTTTCAACGCCATCCCAATCAAAGTACCAATGGCATTTTTCACAGTGCTGGAACAAACAATCCTAAAATTTGTATGGAACCAGAAAAGACCCTGAATCGTCAAGGAAATATTGAAAAAGAAAAACAAAGCTGGGGGCATCATGTTGCCTGATTTCAAACTATATTACAAAGCTATGATCACCAAGACAGCATGGTACTGGCACAAAAGCAGACACATAGATCAATGGAACGGAATAGAGAGCCAGATATGGACCCTCAACTCTATGGTCAAATAATCTTCCACAAAGCAGGAAAAAATATCCATTGGAAAAAAGACAATCTCTTCAATCAATGGTGCTGGGAAAATTGGACAGCTATATATAGAAGAATGAAACTCAACCATTCTCTTACACCATACACAAAGATAAACTCTAAATGGGTGAAAGACCTCAATGTGAGACAGAAATCCATAAAAATCCTAGAGGAGAACATAGGCAGTAACCTCTTTGACATCGGCCACAGCAACTTCTTTCAAGACACATCTCTAAAGGCAAGGGAAACAAAAGTGAAAATGAACTTTTGGGACTTCATCAAAATAAAAAGCTTCTGCACAGCAAAGGAAACAGTCAACAAAACAAAGAGACAACCCACAGAATGGGAGAAGATATTTGCAAATGACACTACATATAAAGGGCTGGTATCCAAGATCTATAAAGATCTTCTCAAACTCAGCACCCAAAAAACAAATAATCAAGTCAAAAAATGGGCAGAAGACCTGAACAGACACTTCTTCAAAGAAGACATACTAATGGCTAACAGACACATGAAAAAAAATGTTCAACATCATTAGCTATCAGGCAAATTCAAATCAAAACCACATTGAGATACCACCTTACACCAGTTAGAATGGCAAAAATTGACAGGGCAAGAAACAACAAATGTTGGAGAGGTTATGGGGAAATGAGAACCCTCTTACACTATTGGTGGGAATGCAAGTTGGTACAGCCACTTTGGAAAACAGTGTGGAGGTTCCTCAAAAAGTTAAAAATAGAGCTACCCTACAACCCAGCAATTGCACTACTGGGTATTTACCCCAGGGATACAGATGTAGTGAAAAGAAGGGCCACATGCACCCCAGTGTTCATAGCAGCAATGTCAGCAATAGCCAAACTGTGGAAAGAGCCGAGATGCCCTTCAACAGATGAATGGATAAAGAAGATGTGGTCCATACATACAATGGAATATTACCCAGCCACCAGAAAGGATGAATACCCAACATTTGCATCAACATGGATGGAATTAGAGGAGATTATGCTAAGTGAAATAAGTCAAGCAAAGAAAGACAATTATCATATGGTTTCACTTATATGTGGAACATAAGGAATAGCATGGAGGACGTTAGGAGAAGAAAGGGAAAAATGAAGGGGTAGAAATCAGAAGGGGAGACGAACCATGAGAGACTATGGACTCCGGGAAACAAACTGAGGGTTTTACAGGGCAGGGGAGTGGGGGGATGGGATAGCCCGGTGATGGTTATTAAGGAGGGCACGTATTGCATGGAGTCCTGGGTGTTATACAAAAACAATGAATCATGGAGCACTACATCAAAAAATAATGATGTACTGTATGGTGCCTAACATATAAAAAAAGAGAAAAAAAATAAAATTTAAAAAAATATTTTGAATTCATCACTTTTGTTTCATTTACCATCAGAAGTATATTCTAAAATAGGTAGTCCCAAAGAAAAAAAGTAGGTGGTGACAATGGTTCTGACTTCTCCAAATTAACTTGAATTGTCAGGTAACCGGAGGATGTATTCTATCTTGAAAATGATGACCCATAGTTAAATTATGCTATTATTGTCCATTGCCTCTTCCATTTCTAGAAATAAGTTCCTAAGAGTTATCTATTAACTAGGAGAATAATCCCATTATTTACATTCAGAAGTTCATAATCTTTAAGGAAC